AAACCACTGCTCTGATACCATGATTGGAAGACCCCACACTTTCATATATAACAATTGTTACTCCGAAACATGCTACATGCATATTCATAAAACAATATTTTATATTGATAAAGCAGTTACAAACTACTGGATACAAACCCACTATTTCATAGTGTTATATATTACATAACTTCCCAGGATTCTATACTTTTATACATATGGGAGTGCAAAATACAATAGTTTCAAACTATTCGAAAATCTTCTATCAAAATCAATAGTTTCAAACTATTCAAAAATCTTCTACCAGTATATAACTATACTGGATGCTTATCTCCTGCAAAATAGTTAAACATTGAGAGGGGTAAGCGGTGACGCTTAGTGAGTTCAATAATAGATACAATATAACGTTATGCCATATATATACTTCAATATGGCAGAAGCAAGGAACAACAAAGGCATAATGCGAAAAGCTTTCCATATCAATCAATGAGATATAACAATTTCCATACTTGATATACAATCAATAAAGTTTCAGCACAAATGGCTCAGAAAATACTCAGGAATATCATTTTTGCTAGAATATTTAGGCTTTCAGCCTTATCTTAGCATACTACCGAAGCCAAAGTGATGCCTATGTCATACACTTCATGGTCAGCGGTTCATACCAATACCCAAGTGATGCTTATGTCATACACTTCAAGTCAAAGGTACAGTCTTGCTATAAAAATAGCGGAAATAATAACACGAGATGATACATGGAAAAGCACATAGCACATATAACACATAACATACAATTGTTCCTATATATTAAACTCACTGTGAAATAACCGGGGGTTAAAATAGTAATTCGGGCAGCACTTCGGCTCTAAATATGACTTTCTTCGTTGAAAACCGGGAGTTTTCTTGAAAACCGGGCTCTGCGAAGGTTGGGCTTCGAAACCGAAAAGATAAATTTTTCGGGCTTCTCGGGAATTTCGGGGTGTGTTTCGGGCTTTGGAATTAGTACCGGGGATTCGGAGGAAGTCGGAATGTAAGAAAATATGGAACAAGGGTGAAAAAATACCAAATTTCAAACATCTAACCGGGAGGTCTCGCACCCCTTATATAGGTGCGAGCCTCGGATCCGAAGCGAGGGGGTGAGGGCAGGAGGCTGCGAGGCTCGGACCAGGTGGCAGCAGGGCGAGGCTCGGACGGACAGGTGCTCGCTTCGCATAGGTCGGATGACGCGGCTTCTGGCTTCGGATCGGGTCGGCTGCCTCGGTCGAATCAGGAGTCTACATGTGGGTCGGGCACGAGGGCGCATGCGAGATCACGTGACTTCGGACACATGCCAGCTCCTAAGTGGACCGAGCTTCGGTCCAATGGGGAAAGAGGTGACGACTTCGGACCAATCAGCGGGTGCCACGCGAGGCTGCGGTCCAATCAGAAGACACCACGTGGATCGAACACTATTCATGCGAAATTATCGAAAAATGTGTCCAATCTTGTAAAATCCATAACTTTCTCATACGGGCTCCGTTTTTTGACGTTCTTTATATGAACGCGTAGAGAAAATTATGCTCTACAACTTTCGTTTAGACTTCGTCGGAAAATTTTGACTTTATTTTTATATTATTATTTTTTAACAGACCGGGACTGGTAAATCCATTAAAAATTCATAACTTCTTCATCCGACGTCCGTTTTCGTCAGACTTTTTACCGTTGTACTGCTAATGACAAGACCTTCGATTCTTGTTTAGGTTGTGTCGGCTAAAAATCACTTGATCTAAAATTCGAGTTTTTAGTTGTCTACTGCTAAGCTGAAACTTAGAAAAATCATAACTTCCTCATACGAAGTCAGATTTTGGCGTTCTTTTTATCAGAATTCTCGGTTTAACGAATACTACGACTTTCATTTATATCACTAAGGCTAAAAAGTAGTTTATCAAAAACTCACTTTTTACGTCATTCGGCACCATGCCGGTTTTATCGCGGATCTTCGATTGGTCATAACTTCTTCGTTATAACTCGGATTTCGATGAGGTTTTCGCCTATATGTTTCTAACGAGATTATCTACAACTTTCAATAATAAAATTTTACTTATTTCAAATTTTATATTTTCGCTAAATTTCACTATTTGGCTAATAATTGGAATCTCATAAGACTTCCAATAATTTATGAGTGATTCTAAACATAGTTTTACCTTATCTCTAGTAAAAACTTTCTGTTAGAACTCAATACTCAATATTACATAATATTTCATAGTATTATTTACTTAAAACACGATTTCAAAACGTGTATGTTACAATTACCTCCTCCTTTTGAGAATTTCGTCCCCGAAATTACATCAATTTAAATAAATAAGATTTAAATAATGGGGATATTTCGCTCTTATCTCATTCTTATTCTCCCAAGTATAGTTCGGGCCTCGATGGTGTTTCCACTTGACAAGCACCAACTCTATTTCTTTATTACGTAGCTCAGTCGTTCTTTCGTTTACGATTTCTTCAGGCTCTTCTACATAAGTTAACTTATTATCCAGTTTCACTTCGGATAATGGAACTGTCTCGTCATAGACGCTCAAGCATTTGCGCAGATAACTCACATGGAAGACATCATGAATACCTGTCAAATCTTCAGGCAATTCCAAGCGGTATGCTTGTTTACCAATTTTGAGCCTCTCTAAGCTCTCTCTCATAATTCTCCATAGCTACTTGGTGTTTGTGACTCATTAGAGGTGCAACAATTGAGGCACTAAGCTCTTGAAGGTCAAGATCAACTAGCTACGAGGAAAAGGTATTCATCTAACTTGGTTTTAGTTATCAATTTCGAAATTGTGTATGCTAGTCATAGGGTTTATGCTTTGGATGATTATTTGCATTTATAACTTGAGAAAAACTTAGATCCAAAGCATTAGGGTTGCATGTACATCATAGGAATGTTGTAGTGCACAAAACCCATCAAATACTTCATATCTGGAATATCTAACCATATAAGGACCTCAATAACCAATACAGTTGCAAACTTTATTGAATTTTTCCATTCAAAACATCATAAACATGAAGAAGAAGAAGAAGAAGAAGAAGCATTAAAACCTATATCTAGAGGAGGCTAACCAACAATATAAGAAAAAGGAAATGTACAAAGGTCTAGAAGTTGCTTAAATGCAATCTCTAATCTTTGCCAAGAGGTTCTTTATACCACAAGGGTCTTCTTCTTCCTTCCAAGTGCACCAAATCACCAAAAGTAAGCTCAAATATGAAGGAGAGGGTATTAGGGTTTGCTTCAAGGTTCTTGAGGGTGATGGAGACTGGAAATGATGCCCTAAATCTGAGGTTAGAGGCTTAAATACGAAGGAATCCCTAAAATTATGGGCCTGGGCCAAAACAGTCGCCACGTCGTGGGACTCATCAAAGGGGACGCGATCATTTAAGTCATGCTACATCGTGGGCATCCTTATGCCATGCCGTGCCATAGAGTTTTCCCAAAAACTCCATTTTTGACCCCGTTAAGTATTTAGTTAAACCATTTCGAGAAACAGGTGTTACAAAACATGGAAAACTAATTGGAAACAAGTTACTGAAGGTACTCATATTTAGATTTAACTGTATCCTTCAATTGTGGTTGATTTCTGTTAAGTGCAATGGATATTAGTTTCTTGTTTACTAATTCCTATGTTGATTTATTCCCTAAGTTCGTTCACAAATCCTAATGATTCTAGGTATTCCAATCACAATGGTCATGTAAATTAGTTTTCCCTCTTATCAGGTTCTAGTTCATATCAAGTGAGATTTAATCTGGTGAAAGATCTTCAATGGTCATCTAGATCAATCGGTGCACGGAATGGTCATCTAATGCAATGCTTACTTATTAAAGTTCATATCTTGTTAACATAACCCTGGCATATACCATCTCTAGTCACAATTACCAATGGTCTTGGACAACCACGATTCAAGCCACATAATCAGATTGCTCATCTAGCTCATGCAAACTCAACAATAAATAATGAGATTCAAGCTAAAACACATAAGGTTCCTTGATTAAACACACAAGATAAAATAAAGACATCTCAATATCCATAAATGTATCTGATATAGCCCAGAAAATATGTATAATATAAGCCATATCATAACACTGTATATTTTGTGAATATAAATATTCCATTAATAAACGTGAAATGCCCAAACCAAAAGTGAACAATGTCATGACTCAAACACTCTCATCGACAGCCACATAGGAGACACTCATGACCAACCAACCTGATACATGTGTTGCTTCACTCATCTCTGGCCAAAAACCTGCATTCAAGACATTAAATTAAACCTTCACTTCAACGTTTGTGTGCATCTCTTTTGTTAATCTCGCTTGAATGGGGAAACTTCATGCTTTACGTTTTGCAAGACTACAGGAGTTCAGATCCAATATGCTAAAGCTCTTATCATATTCCAAAAGGAATCATATTTCCACTCATATAATCATTTATGATTTTTTATAAAACATGTTTATGATCATTGATTTGAGTTATTTTTAGTTCATTTAATAATTAGAACACATAACATCATTAAGGTCATTTATGGTTTGTGGGTCTGATAACTAACTTATAAACATGTTGGTAAGGTTTACTATCCCTAAAATGTTTTTACTCATACAAAAACCATTTTAATCCAATCTATTTATATTTTATGATCAAAATATATTTTGTTATTGTTTTTTTTTTTTCTTTTGGTTTATGAGAGTACAATAGACTAGACGTAAAAAGCAATGTCTTCAGGCGGCTGTGGTCAAAAAGCATGGTTAATTCCTCTTTCTTTGTCTTTTGGTTGTATTTTGGTTGTGCTCATGTCACGGGTAAAAAGTTCTACACACCATGCTCACTTTTCACAACTTTTAATTCAATACTTTATTTGTACTTTTTTTTATATTTAACTTCTGCAAAATAGATTGTGTCCAACATATCATGTTGTCAAGAACCTTATATCAATTAAAAAAATCCACATTAGAACTACTTTACACTAGTTAATTTAGAAAATAAGTAACTCTAAGTAAATATAAATTAATAAGTTGGGTATTTTCTTCAAAATCTAGTAGCAAAAACTATCCTTACAAGTTACAAGTATATAACATTTGTACACAAACAATGTGCGAAAATCAACCTTCTAATGTAACAAATTCTCCAACCACTATCCAACACGTTTACACTACAATTACATACGCGAAGTCAATTCTACTGTCTAGACATAGGTGCCATCGGTTGGCTAGTGTACCCACCTTCCATTTGATAATTATGGTAACCGCCAGGTGGCGGCGGCACCACCGCCGGTGTGTATGAAGAACCACTGTTGATTAGCGGCCCAACGGTGGGATACCCCGGCAAAGGCGGTGGTGCTTGCTGGTTATAGCTATACGGTACCGCCACCATGAACGGCGGCAGCGGGTAAGCTTGCATTGGCGGCATAGGTAGCGGAGGTGGCAGAGATGATGGTGGCGGTGGTTGGTGGTGGTGGTCGGTTGTCTCGATCTTGGCTCGTTTTTCGGGAGGGTGGTTGTTTGAGGAGGATTCTGTAGCGGAATTTACGCTAACGCCCTCGGATGCTAAGGAAGAGAGGACGTAAGAGAGCATCTCGGCGGATGATGTGGAGGCGGTGAGCTTTGCCGCCACTTCGGCGGCGGCAGATTTGGTGGCTTCCTCCTCGGTGATCGGAGTTTGGCGTGTGTAGATTACCGCTGCAGACTGTTCTCCGGTTCCGGGAATGTAATTGTGGGGTTTAGTGGTGGTGGTGGTGGTGGTTGTGGTCTGCTCCGGGAGTAATTTGGTGGCACCGGGATTCATTAACTGGCGGCAGAAATTATCGGTTTTTTCTGATTGTGTATGTGCAGCCTGAAAACATGAAAATGGGGCGAACTTACTTAAATAAGTATAACAATTATAATAAAAAGAAATTAAAGAAATTGGTGTATATGGAATAGTAGAAATTATCGATATTGTCCTCGACCTCATCGAGTGTCAAACTTAAAGGTCCAGCCGTTATGTGTGTGTAAAATGACAAATTTACCCTTGTCATTTACATGGACTGAACCACAGGGCAGATAAGTTACAGACAAGGACAAAATACATGCAAAAATATATTTTCAACAACCAGTCCATGTAATAATATTCACAAATTTGCAAAAATGGTCCCTGTGGTTTGTCATTTTCTTTGGATAAAGTCCAAATCTTGTCAAAATTGCAGATATGGTCCTTTTGCAGGTTTTTGTTGCATATTTGGTCCCTGTCAAACTTAAAATGACTAATCTGCCCTTTATATTATTATTTTTTCAATTTTCTTTCATCGGTTTTAATTTATTTACCCAAAGAAAATGACAACCCATAGGGACCATTTTTGCAAATTTGTCTGGAACTTTTTGGGGATGATGTCCACAACGATACTACAGGGACGATTTATGTAATATTATTCTGAACTTAATAATAAATCATTGACTAAGTTACAAATTTTGTCCTTGAGCTTTTTCTCTTTTTCTTTTTTTTGGTTTAGGTCAAAAATGTGGTCTTTTTGCAGTTTTGGTGGTTGAATTTTGATTTTAATTTAGATTTTGTTGAGGAAGAAGATGAAATCAACAGTGTTATAAACCATAAAATAAGAACAAAATTGCAAACAGATTCCTTTCATGGGCACAGGGACCAAATCCATAATTTAGTCTAAATCAATTAACTAGATGTTTCAGTTTCTAAAAATTTTGGTAATATCATATGTATGTTTGATCTTCATGAAGGTGTCAAAAAGCTTTTGGGATTTGATTATGATTAGAAGAAAGCACCAATAATCACTAATTAAAGACCAATTTCCATACAAATATATAGATTGTACCTTGAGTTCATTTCGGATTTGATCCAGCTTCATTTCCTGAGAACAAGAAAACCACAGCATTCCTCTCTCAGAAACACCATAAACTATAAAAAAAAAGGTAAAGTGCAAGAAAAAGCAATGTACTTTCAGATATTTGATTACTACAGCATTCTACTTTGAAAAATCCATGGCATTTCATTTCTAAAATTGGGTAGATTTTTCATAGGACATTTGGTTTAGATTGTTCAAAGCACAATGTCTTAATAAGAAAAGAACTGAACATACAATGTTGTATTAGAAACAAACAAAAGTAGGATGTTATATAATACACATATAAAAGAAAGTGTATTGTTATTTCTTGCATTTAGCCATTATAAAAATTCAAAAGGATAAGAGATTTTGGATACCGATATACCTGCTCCTGAAGAGCCTCCCGCAGATAAGAAACAAGATTAATTCTAGATGATTCTACTGATAAAAGATGCTCAATACAATCTCTCAATGTAGCATGATGCCCCTTGAGCTCTTCCACAACACCCAACCCATTAACTTGTGCTGATTTTTTCCCATTAGGACAGGGGACAGAAAAAGAACAAAAAAAAAAAAGACAGAAAAATCAATACAACATAACATGGAGAAAATGTGTAAAAACATGTAAATCAGGGGGTGTTTGATATGCATTGCATGATAAGTGTTAAGATTCTAAGATAGGATATTGTATATTGATATTGTTTGTGTATGGGAAGTTTGAAGTGAAAGGAAAGGGTCAAATGTGTAAAATGGAGAAAATGCTCATAAAAACATGTAAATCAGGGGGAGCTTGATATCCGTGTCTGACTGGTCCGGTTAGCATGTTTGATTTTGGTAAGTAAAACATTTGACCTGGTCTGACTCGGTCCTAGAAGGATTATTAGCTATAACTCGGTCCTTTCACATTTTTTGCTCTCTGCCATAATACCATCGACATAACAAAACGCCTCCAATCGCAAACACATGTGTCACATCGCTTCGCCATTTCCTTGCGCCGATGCCGTAGTCTTCCTCTGGTGAGCAAAACCTCCTCTCTTTTTTTCTTTTTGTGAATAGATTCAGAAAATTGTTTTGTGTTATTTTTGCCAATAAACTGTTTCTTCTTTTTTAAACTTGTTTGGTTAATTTTTGCTATATGAAGTATTAAAGGTTGTTGATTTGGCTAATTGGTGTATTAGCTGCATGAAGTATTTAATGTTGTTGGTTTGGTTAATTGGTTGAATGATGTATTAGCTTACATAAAGTATTAAACATTGTTGTTTGGTTAATTTTTGGTCTTTGAAAGTAACAGTCTTTGAAAACTAATTGGTTTTTAAACATAACAAAAAAGAGACCTAGAGTTAGTTGGAAGTTGGGATGTGTGGACGGAACTTTTTCTTGAAGCATGTATACACGAACTAACAATTAACGGTCGAAAGGGTAACGGCTTAAACGGAAGCCTATGGAAAGTAGTAGCCGAAAAACTAAAAAACAATCATGATTTTATAGTTGACCAAAAACAAATGAAAAAATGATATGACTTCTTAAAAGCAAAGCACGTTTTTTGGTTGAAACTGAAAAACAAAACCGGAAATCTTTATAATCCTATAACAAACATTTTCTATATGAGTGTTGAATAATGGAATTCAAAGGCAAAGGTATTCTTTTTTTTTAAATATGATTATTTTGTTTTTGTAGTTTGATAATATTTATAATTTTCAAACAAGCTTGTAGACAAATTAAGAAATGTGTTCATCCCTTGCTCTGCCCTTTGTACCTAATTGTACCTTGACTTGGCGTTCACAATTGGATGCCATCTTCTACACTCCCTTATCACACTGAAGAATTTACTAAGCATGATTTAATGTTCGGTGCACTCAGATGGAAACCCAAGCCTCAACAAAGCCTCCATATGCACGTGAAGAATCATATGGTCAATCAAAAAACAAGAGAGGAAAATGAAATGGCAAAGAAGTTCGTGGAAACACATTAAATGAAGACTTGAGAGAAATTCAGAAGGAAATTATCAAAATTGTGAAGTCCTTGGTGGAAAAAAATATTGACAATGATATGGTCGCGTGTATGGAGAAGGTGGAAAAAATGGAGCCACAGAGAATCTGATCCAAAAGACGAAACGACTTGTTTTGCTATTCAGTAGAAATGTCGATATTAGAAAAGTTTGATTACGCATTGAGCCATCGTGTTGCAAGTCATAGATGAGAAATGCGGGAAAGAAGTTTGGATCATTCGGATTGCTTTTGGATCTTTTTTTACATGAATTTGGGTTTACTTTTAGATGACTTTTGTATGACTTTCAAGATCTTTTTGTATGACTTTTTGTTTACTTTTCAAGTTAAATTTGGTTGAAATTTAGATGACATTTGTATGACTTCTAGGATTTTTTGTGGATGACTTAAATGTTATGTTATGGATTTATATGTTATGTTATGGTTACTTTTGGATTACTTTTGAATATTATGGATTTAAAAGTCATCCAAAATAGATTGTGAAAGTCATACAAAACTAATTTAAAAGTAAATTAAACTCATGCAAAAAGATCCAAAAGCAATCTCAATGCTCCAAACTTTCTTCTCGCATTTCTTACCCATAACCGACAACAAGACGGCACAAGTTGTAACCAAACTTTTCAAATATCGACACTTTCACCGAATAGCAAAAGAGTCGTTTTATATTTTGGATCAAATTCCCCACACCATTTTTTCCAACTTCTCCATACATGCGATCATCTCATTCTTAATATTATTTCTTTCCATCAACGACTTTGCAACTTTGATAATTCCTACCCAACTTCTCTTAAGTCTTCATCTAAAGTGTTTCGACGGAACTTCTTTGTCATTTCGTTTTCATTCATTGTTTTTTGACGACCAAAAGATTCTCTATTTGTATATGGGGGCTTTTCTGAGACTTGGGTTTCCATCTGAGTGCACCACCGAACATGATCAGTACCTTCTTAGTACCTTCTTTGGCACCTTCTTTGGCAGGATAATGAAGTGTTGAAGATGTCCCCCAACTGTGAACGTCGGCCGAGGTCACCCAATCAAACAATTGAGTACAAAGATTAGGGCAAATGAGAGACGCATTTCTCAATTTATCTACAAACTTGTGCAATTATTTGAAAATTTTATAAATATTATCAAACTACTAAAATAAAATAATCAAATTTAAAAAAAACAAAAGTGTACCTTCGCCCCCGCATACCATTATTCATCACTAATATTGAAAGTGTATGTTAATTGTTATCGGATTATAAAGATTCATGGTTTTGTTTTTCAGTTTCAACCAAACAGCGTACTTTCTTTTTAAGTAGTCATATCGATTTTTCATTTGTTTTTGGTCAACTATAAAATTATGATCGTTTTTCCGTTTTTCTGCTACTACTTTCTATGAGCTTCCTTTTAAGCCACTACCCACTCGATCGTTAATTGTTAGTTCGTGTAAACATACTTCGAGAAAAGTTTTATCCACACATTCCAACTTCCAACTAACTCTAATTCTACGTCTCTATTCTGTCATGTCTAGAATAAAAGATCCAATAAAAACCAATTAGTTTTCAAGTACTGCTACTTTAAAGGGGCAAAAACTTACTAAACAACAATGTTTAATACTTCATTAACAAATATACCAATCAACTAATTAACCAAATTAACAATGTTTAATACTTCATGTATATAATACATCAATCAACCAATTAGGCAAATCAACAATAATACTTCATGTCGCAAAAACACCAAACAATTTTCAACATCTATTCAGAGAAGGAAAAAAAGGTTTTGCTCACCTCAGAAAGGCGACGTCAAGGCGGAGGAAGGCGTCGGCGTCGACGAAGCAAGGAAATCACGAAGGGAGGCGACGTTTGGAGGAACATGTTCGTTCGAATGGAGGCGTATGTGAAAGGACCGAGTTGGCTAGTAATCCTTCTAGGACCGAGTTGGCTAGTAATCCTTCTAGGACCGAGTCAGATGTTTGTGACTAGGTAGGTCAGATGTTTTACCAGACCAAGTCAAACATATACATCTGACTGGACTAGTCCAGCCAAGTCAAACGAATATCAAATGTCCCTAAGATTAGTATCAAACACCATGTATATTTGATAAAAAGAGAGAAAGTATCAGTTTTTGCGTTCTTCACAATTTTAGAAACCATTTGTTGTTTTAAAGGTGATTTTTAGAGTGTGTGTGTGTGTGTTTCATGCTTGTAGTCTAAACAAAAGTCAAATGACCATTGCAAAGGAACTTTGCCAATTTAACCACTCAACTAATGAATCAAGATAAGAACATGTTTATGTTTTTCCATGATACTTTTGCATTCATGTAATATGATAAGAGTTTGGAGTGTAATAAATGGATTATTGAATCAACCTTAAGTTTGGACTTAAGAGATGAACTAAAAGCGGAATAAATCATGGGATTGCTTCCATATAACCATCTGGTTATAAATCATGACTTGACTTTGAAACCAAAAGATGTTTGGATACATGAGAGTATTTAATAAATCATGGGGAATGCTTCCATATGACCATCTGGTTATATTTTACATGTATCAAATTCATTTGAGATTTGCTTCGGTGAAAAGTTGCATCTAGAGAGTTGTAGTTATAAACTCTATGTTTATCAACGCCTATACCTATTGATACGTCCGCAATTTGGGCGAGTGTACAGAGTTGGAAGCAACAAAAATAATAATTATTTATTAACAATTTATCATTTTATCGTTATTTCAAATTAATAGTTATCTTTTATTTAATTTTAAATTAGGGTTATCATTTATGATTAGGAATAAATTAATTTCGAGTCTTTGGACTTTGGGAGATATCCAATGTCTTGATTTACAAGGCGTTTCATTGGTTACGTAGGTTCGTATCAAATTGGTATCGTAGCAATACGATTATGAGCTAATCATTACTATTCATGATGTTACTGTTCACAGAAGTGTTGGTTATGACAACCGGTAGAATTACTGTAGCAGACTTTAGAGGGAACTGTTATAAAGGGTTTGAAACCATAGCTTCAATCGGTCACACAACCGGGAAGCCTAACTCATGCTATGAGGATAGCAATCATGTTAGATGAAAAGTGAGTGAGTAGGGGTCTTTCACGATCGGGGAAAGGGGTTGGTGGATACTGGTGTTACTTCTAGTGGCCAACTTAGGGGCGAGTTCGAAGGTTGATGGAGACATAATTACAAGACACAGGGTGAAAGGGTTATGTTTCCAATGTGATGAAAGGTTCACGGTAAGGCATCAATGTGCCGGTAGAATGCTCCAAATTTTGTTAGTAGCTGAAGAAGGAAAATTATGAAGAGCTTGGAGATGCCAAACAATTTCAGCAATATTTAGCTGCATAACCCGGATTTCCACCTTGAGGACAAGGTGCTTGTTTCCGGTAATAATGATACGCCTGCACAATTTTTACGCATGCATATCAAGCAACCAAATAATAATTATTTATTTATGTTGTGTTTGGCATGGAGTTTTTGGAGCTTTTATCTTTTAGCTTTTAAGAAAAAAAAAACCTTCATTTGACAGCAGGGGCTTTTAGCTTTTATTTTAAACAAAAAACTCATGAATCCAAAAGCTACTTCAAGTAGATTTAGGGGGTTTTTAACTTTTTGGAGCTTTTAGCTTTTAGTTTTTAACCAATTTTACACATTTTTAAAAGCCAACAGCTACTTTTTCCAAACACTTTTGCATAAATAACATAACTACAGCTTCTAGTTCCAACTAGTTTTGCCAAACACGCCCTTAGAATTTATCTTTTTATCCTTATTGCAAACTATTAGTTATCTTTATTTAATTTCAAATTTGGTTTATCTTTTAAATTAGGTTGTAAAAAAATGATTTATAGGGCCTTTTGTCATCAATTATGATTAGGAATAAATTACAGGGCTTTTCATTGGTTACGTATCACCTATGTGATTAAATGTATGCCTAACATGGCACTATCTTACAACGGTTAAACCATAAATTATAAAAGCATATATATATATATATATATATATATATATATATATATATATATATATATATATATATATAGTAAATAGCATACGCAAGAACATACCAGATCTAACATCACCACGGATTTCTTGCTCCACTTTTTCAATGCAGGTAATGGTATTTTTGCATTTGCTAATCATAGCATCTTCATCAAGTTGACCACCATAAATAATTTGATACCCTGACACTATCTTATCCAATGCATTTCCAGCTGACTGTTGCTGACCACATACGAATAAACAACAAATCTTATCCTCAAACATAAAAAAGAACAAAATATTTATACAGAAACACAGAGGAAGAGAGGAACATGCAAAATACCAATTTTAACCCCGAGTGCTTCTCATTTCTGTTACTACTTTCTACATGTCTTCCAACAAGTTCTTTCAGAATTTGCCCCTGCGACCCAAAAACTTTTCTTTCTTCCCAAATTTTGACCTGCTTGTAGGCAAATGAAAATATGAAAATAGAAAATATAAAATATAAAAAGAAATATCAATTTTAGGGCTTGATTCTTATTTTTAATTCTTATTTTTATTAAGTCTTGTATGGATAAGGTGGTTGAATTGGTAATGTTGTATGTGTGGATAAAGTGATGTATACATATAGACTATTTCATTTTTAGACCGAAAGAACTATCTGAATCTTAGTAAATGACCATTTTACCCTTCCGTATAGAAATGATTGTTTTTGGGAACTGTTAAGAGTCGCATATTATTTTCTATAAATTATAATGCAAATGTTCTTATATTCAATCAAAATACGATTAGTAACTCAAATTGAACCCGAGATTTAATCATAACATTAATGATATTTTAAAAAGAACATAATAGTTAAGAATTGTTTTGATTGAGCAAAAATTTCAACTCTATCTAATATGTTGAGTTATAACGGTTTTGAATTAGCTTTGATCATAAATGACTTCAGCTTTAAAACTAATTACGAACAATAACTTTTTTACTTGTTGAAAATTATGTAATTCAAAGATGAATATGTTATAAAAATATTTCACATTTTTATCATCTTATTAGTTAGTTAAATATTTTATAATCTTATTATTTAATTTCATTAAAATCGGATGAAAAGTATTTAATCAATACAATTTCCTCTTAGTTCTTTTTTCCTCCCAACTCCTATCATGTTCCCCCTTCGTGACTTTAAGAATGCTAATTTTTAAACTGTCTTCTTTTACATATTTGAAAAAAAAAAAAAAAAAAAAAAGACAGTATTAATCATATACAATTGTAAGAATATGTGTGTATGATTAATACTGTTTTTATTATTCAAAAATGTACAAGAAAACAGTTTAAAAATTATCATTCTTAAAACAAGGAAGGGAGAACTAAGAACAAATACGAAAAGGGTAAGTATCCGAATACATTAAGCCGAATCTTTTGGCTTAACCCATTAAGTTATTCTGTCCAAATTAAGTAAAAAAGAAACAACCATATATGGCTCTCCATATTAAGTGCTTAACCCATTAAGCCAATTAAGTAAAAAAAAAAAGGCATTTAAAGTTTGAAAAAATTTGAGCATAAAATAGAAGCAACATACCAGGCGTAAAGCGGCATTTTTTCCGGAATCATCGGTGTTATCCATGACATCATGAAGTGCATCCGGAAGAACTTTCCAGAACTCCCCAACAAACTCGGAACCCTTTCGCCTACTATTTTGCAGTATATCATTTGCGAGATAAAGAAAAGCTAAGCGTTGGTCACGTGGGGAACATCGGAATTGTTTTGCCCATGTTTCAACAACTTCTTTTGCCTTGTTCATGTGAAATATACACCAATATGACAAAGCTATATGTCATACTTAAGGCAAAACATCACAATTTCATTCTTCTCCAATTCCATCCTCGTTGATCAACAAAAGGTAGTGTTTGGTATGCAGTATTTCAACAGGGAATGGAATGGAGCATTACAATGTAATGAAGAAAAAAAAAATCCTATTTGTATGCCATATGGAATGGAATGGAACATTCCTCATGAATGGACTCTGGAGTGTTTTTTTTTTCTTTCCTTGATGGGATGAAATGATATATTATGATTATAAATAATTAATATATATAATCTTCAACAACAACAATGCTTTTAATAAATTTCAAAACTTCAATTCAAGTATCTTTTGTTATTTTTTAAAAATAACTAGAGTTAGTTTTTAACTTTTTATAAGAATCTTGTAATAAGATTTCATGGTATTTAGTTTTATTTAATTCTTTATATTTTGATAAAAAAAAATAAGAGATAAATAAACTTTTTTGACTAATTAAAATACATATAGTAGATATTTCAAAATTTCAAACAACAAGAAAGTTGCGTATATGTAATTTGTATAATTATTAACAAACACGTCTTTATTTAATTAAGTTTATTTATATAAAATAACATTTTTCCTATATTTATCAATTTAATTTCATTTAGTTTTCTAATTGTACTTAACAAATAATATGTTTGAATGACTCATTCCATTCCTTCAAACAACCCAAACCAGATAATGAAGGGTAATCACTAATTCCATTACCTTGCTTGTTTTTTGTTCATTCCATTCCTAAACCTTAAACCCTAAACCCTAGGGAAACCCTTTTTAAGTTTTCCAAGATAATGAAACTTTAAAGTAGATAATGTTTGAAAGAAGACCAGAAAATGGAAAAAGATCTTGTTCTAAATTCCCCTTCCCTAGTCCCTCATTGAGCAACTATTAATTCCCACAAAATAAATAAATAAATAACTCCACCAGGTAACTAAAAAACTTATATAACAATTATGAATATTAAGACAAATATATTTGTGCAAATACATTTAAGTAGGATACTCTCAATGCTCTGCTGTGAACTATTGAGCTTAGCCAGCTTCTCCATCAATATTTGTGGATTAAATGTACTTCCCATTATTTCTAACAGACCTCTTTCCAGCTAATGATAATAAGAAAACTTCTGAAAGACAATCTACCTTCACAACAAAAACAATCTTAGATTTATTCTTGTAATCTGAATGAATAACCACTGAAATAGACAGATATCAGATATTGAACATTGGTCATGTTTGATTGCTTATTTCTTATTGTAGGGTACAAACAGATGAAAGTAGTTAAGTTGCTTTAAACTTTAAAGAGAATAAGTAAAGGGAAAACCCTAATAATCTGAACTTGTGTCTCTAACCAAAAACGATTTCAATATAAAAGATTGAAGCATGTGATTTTTCGTTACAGAAACGTCAATTGCGTATCATATAAACACGACAGAATTGCAAAATTAGTTTAGTTTGAACAAATATGGCAATCATTCACAAGTTTCCATTAACTGTCGAAATCGTCAAACAAACAAAAATTATCAAACTTTTTGCCCAAATTGTTACAGCGCACCATGGCAAACCCCTAACTGAAAAGTGGCAATCGACAACACAACAACAGCAACTTCATTTTAAAGCTTGAAAATGCCAACACGAAAAAGATTAAAGACTAACCTAATTAAAGGGAAAACAGGTCTGATGATGAACGAGCGTCGAATACGTCCGATAAGGAAGAAGGCAAGAAACTGGAGGGAACATTTAGGGCTTTGAAAGGAAAGGTAGCGTGTGGAAACTGTTGAACGAAATTGGGTAAGTTGAAGTGAGATAACGATGAACAGAAAGTTTTATGGTCTGAACTTCCTCTGCGTGTTTGGGAGAAGACTTCTATAAGACTGACAACCGGAGAAGTTTCGACATACGTTACGGTGGACAGTGTACAGACTACAGAGGAGGGACATGGTGGTGGACGGTGGTCTCTAATGTTATTAATCGAAAAAACAACGGAACGACGCCGTTCGGTGAAAACATAGCCCATTGGACTTGCCCGTTTGAAAATATTGGGTTAATATACATGGGCAAGTGGCAACCGGCAACCAATATATGATTGGTAATTATGGTTTTAATTGAACTCTTTATGATTAATTAATATATGCTGATTACTGGCTATTTTCTATCTACTTTGTTTTAGGTTTGAATCGGTATATCCAGCCACTGCCTCATGAGTCATGAGTTCATGACATATATCGGTAACCTGGCTATTTTCTATCTACTTTGTTTTAGGTTTGAATTAATATTTGGCTTAGCTTTTTATAGGGCAAAAGTCCTTTTAGGAAAAGATAGAAGGTAAAAGATGTTTGGCAAATGCATTTTAAAATCTACTTTTGGATTTGGATACAAGTAAAAATGAACTTTTTGGAAAAGTCAGGAAAACCTGACTTTTTGTAACTTTTCCAAAAATGACTTTTGTCTCCTAAAAAGTTAAGTCAAACATCCCCTTAATATCGTTCCACTGTACACATTAATTCGTTATGATTAATTACTAATTAAAATATATCATTTTTAATTACTAATTAAAATATATCATTTTTACAGGTCATTTCTTCAAGCTGATTTTGGGTTTGAGTTGGCATTCATGATGAATCTCTTACTACTCTAAATCTATCCTTTCAAGTTTCAACTATTAATCTGATTTGCAACGATTGATAGCAAGAACATCAAATTTTTCAGGCGATGTTCATTTAGATACAATTCAAGGGTTGTTACCATCTATACATCAGTTATGAATTATAAATCTCATATCGTATGCATTTACATCGTACACAATATTAAGGGTTATACCTCGTCCTTCACCTGTCTAACTTCAAAGTCTCTTATGGATTTCGTAGGGGGGGTAAAAAATGGAATTTAAGTTCATAAGCATATACTCAAAAAATATATATAATAGATACGATCGTCCTTATTTTCTTCACCAGTTATTGGTCACATTTGTGATCACAAATACAATGTGATCCCAATGAATACCAACCAACGATAAGTTTATCCAACAATCATATATAAAATAAATCTTTTGTCACTTTCATAAATGTAATCTTGGGTAAGTTGGTTGAAGATCACAAAAGTCGTCGAGGATGTTAACTTGTACCCAAAACCGAATCATATCATCATATCATACTATATTATAAAGGAAACATTTTTCCTTTCACCACATTCATTTGAAACTCCCATGCATTTTTCCTTTCACCACATTCATTTGAAACTCCCATGACTTTTTAATTTCTTTCTAATAATAATTACAAGTTGGTTAATAAGGTTAAATAAACATCAAACCTAAAGTGTAATCATCTATAAACTAAATTTTAATATTAAAATAATATATTTACTTCTACTTATAAAGTTATGTTTTCTAACATTTAACATATTATACTCAATTTATTAGTTTTAATATATTGTTGGATGTAAACCATTATCATTTTAAAGATACAATTTTGGAACAATTTGTATAAAATACTTAAATTATTAATTTGAATATAACATTACAGGGTCAACTTAAATATAAAATTTAGTTTAACTTAAACAACCCAAAGAATATTTTGTAAATAGTTAAATGTGATTAATTGAAGTGTCTTTCTAATAATGAAAATAATATATTTACTTCTACTTATAAAGTTATGTCTTTAACTTTTAACATATTATACTTAATTTATTAGATTTAATATATTGTTGTATATAAGCCATTATCAGTTTAAAGCTACAACTTTTGAATAGTTTAAACAAAATACATAAACTGTTAATTTAAATATAACATTACAATGTCAACTTAAATATAAATTTCAGTTCCTCTTAAAAAACCAAAGAATATTTTGTAAATAGTTAAAAGTGATAAATTGTAGTGATAAATGAAAAAACTAAATTGTAATATCAATTTAACTAAAATATTTCCTAAAGATATTTTTATAATCTTTATAAGTTTTCAAATAAGTAGCTTAAAATAACTTACAATAACAATATTTAAAAATAACTCTATATAAATGATTATATTGTTACCTTTAAAATCAAAAAACAATGTTTGATGTTTTAAATAATTATAATGATAGAAATTAAAACATTAAGCAATAAATTTTAAAAAATTAATTAATAATAACAACAACTATAAATAAAATTAAACCATATATTCAATTTAAATTTATTCATGTGTAACTCGCGGGTAGAAGTCATTCAAACGATTGAGATTATGCAATTATAATAGATGTATACATTATTATATAATTCAAAATAATCAATATATTATATCAATTTAGTATAAGAATTATTATATCAAATTTAACAACAACGTTATTGCTAGATTTAAAAAAACATATATTTGTAAAGACTTCAGCTATACAGGTGTTTCTGCGCAACGCGCGGGCATTCGCCTAGTACTATATTATAAAGGAAACATTTTTCCTTTCACCACATTCATTTGAAACTCCCATGCATTTTTCCTTTCACCACATTCATTTGAAACTCCCATGACTTTTCAATTTCTTTCTAATAATTATAAGTTGGTTAATAAGGTTAAATAAATATCAAACCTAAAGTTTAATCATATATAAACTAAATTTCAATATTAAAATAATATCTTTACTTCTACATATAAAGTTATGTTTTTTAACTTTTAACATATTATAATTAATTTATTAGTTTTAATATATTGTTGGATGTAACGATTATCATTTTAAAGATACAATTTTGGAACAATTTGTATAAAATACTTAAATTATTAATTTAAATATAACATTACATGGTCAACTTAAATATAAATTTTAGTTTAACTTAAACAACCCAAAAATTATTTTATAAATAGTTAAAAGTGATAAATTGTAGTGTCTTTCTAATAATGTTTATAAGTTGGTTAATAAGGTTAATGAAATATCAAACCTAAAGTGTAATTATAAATAAACTAAATTTCAATTTTAAAGTAATATCTTTACTTCTACTTATAAAGTTATGTCTTTAACTTTTAACATAATATACTTAGTTTATTAGTTTTAAAATGTTGTTATATAAAAACCATTATCAGTTTAAAGCTAAAACTTTTGAACAATTTTGAAAAAAATACTTAAATTGTTAATTTAAATATAACATTACAGTGTTAACTTAAATATAAATTTCAGTTTCACTTAAAAAACCAAAGAATAATTTGTAAATAGTTAAAAGTGATAAATTGTAGTGATAAATGCAAAAACTAAATTGTAATCTCAATTTAACTAAACTATTTCCTAAATATATTTTTATAATCGTTAAAAGTTTTCAAATAAGTAGCTTAAAATAACTTTCAAAAACAATAGTTAAAAATAACTTTATATAAATGATTATATTGTTACATTTAAAATCAAAAAACAATGTTTGATGTTTTTAATAATTATAATGATAGAAATTAAAATATTAAGCAAATAAACTTTAAAAAATTAATTAACAATAACAACAACTATAAATAACATTAAACCATATACTATATTTAATTTTATTCATGTGTAACTCGCGGGTAGAAGTCATTCAAACGATTGCGATTATGCAGTTATAATAAATGTATATATTATCATATAATTCAAAATAATCAATATATTATTTCAATTTAGTATACAAATTATTATATCAAATTTAACAACAACGTTATTTTTATACTTAAAAAACAATATTTGTAAAGACTTCAACTATATAGGTGTTTCTTTTAAACAGTTTGGATAAAATACTTAAATTATTAATTTAAATATAACATTCCAATGTCAACTTAAATATAAGTTTCAGTTCCACTTAAGAAACCAAAAAATATTTTGTAAATAATTAAAAGTGGTTAATTGTAGTGATAAATGCAAAAACTAAATTGTAATCTCAATTTAACTGAAATATTTCCTAAATATATTTTTATAGTCGTTAAAAGCTTTCAAATAAGTAGCTTAAATAACTTACAATAACAATAGTTAAAAATAACTCTATATAAATGATTATATTGGTACGCTTGAAATAAAAAAATAATGTTTGATGTTTTAATAAATTATAATGATATAAATTAAATATTAAGCAAATAAATTTTAAAAAATTAATTAACAATAACAATAACTATAAATAACAGTAAATCATATATTATATTTATTTTTATTCATGTGTAAATCGCGGGTAGAAGTCATTCAAACGATTGAGATTATGCAGTTATAATAAATGTATATATTATCATATAATTCAAAATAATCAATATATTATATCAATTTAGTATACGAATTATTATATCATATTTAACAACAACGTTATTTTTATATTTAAAAGAAACATATATTTGTAAAGACTTTAACTATGTAGGTGTTTCTGCGCAACGCGCGGACATTCGCCTAGTAAACATATATAGATAGCCATTGAAATGAAATCATTTAATAATTATTATTTACTTTTAGGTGTTAGATTATATATATATATATATATATATATATATATCATTTAAGACTAATTGGAAATGCCAACTTTTATCTAGAACTAGTTGTGTAGGAAATAATTAGTAAAAATGGTTTTTCTATCAATAAAATTGACTTTGAGGATCTAGGTTGTATAATTAAATCGATAATGATCAATATATTGGACATTGTTGGTTACTCATATATATCACTAGTCGAATCCCCGCGCATTGCGCGCAAATATAATTATTTGATTAAAATAAAAAAATTTAACAAATTGTTATTTAATATTTATACATGTAAAACCAATGTCAATAGCAAAACAAAATCTATAGTTTACATATTAGTTTTATTAATAGTAATAAATTTATATCATTAGTTGCTTCCACTATTAATTCATTATTTTATAGATGGTTTTATATTGTGTAAATTATATATAAAACATATATTGATTTTTATCTATAAAAAAACAAAGTTGTATGAAAAAATAAATACTACAACTTTTAATGATTTTATAGAACGTTTTAAGTACTGGAAATTATATATAAAATGTATGCCGATTTGTTTATAAAACAAATAGCAAATAGTATGAAAAACATTATAGCTATTA